AGTTGAGTTACGCCCACCGGTTACACATAGATCATTGGTGAAACGAGGAGAAGTAGAGAAAGTAGATACTTTTAAACACATTCTTAATATGCCAAAAAGTTTATTTTCAACATGAGTGAAGACTTGTAAAGATCATTCATTTTTTTACGAAACATCAGGTTTATGAAACCAAGCCGGCTAATTGCAATAAGAAATCCAAAATAAGAGTAAATTGTATGAAACAATAGGAGCACATTCTCTATTAGTCTGATCTTTCAAAATTTAAGAGAATGTTACCTTTTTATCCATCACCCGTTTTAGTATTATTGTTGAAGCATTTGTCCCACACCGGAAAGCTATAAAACAATTACACACTATATAAGGCTTTGGGCTACTCCTCCTATCAGGTTGACCTTTTAGGATGGAACCCCGGGTCTTAACATGGTATCAGAGCCAATTCCGGTTGTGGTTTGACGGCTTGTTTAGCACCCATGATTAAGGGTAGCTTATTAAGGGTTTGTTTGGGCCGTTTATACACCCCAATATTGTCCAGCCCGGTTCGGGCTGAGGGGGCGTGTTGAAGCATTTGTCCCACACCGGAAAGCTATAAAACAATTACACACTATATAAGGCTTTGGGCTACTCCTCCTATCAGGTTGACCTTTTAGGATGGAACCCCGGGTCTTAACAATTATTTTTTATACAATTCCCCATTGGTAGTCTTTTTTGGTGAAAACATCTAGAACTCGTTTAGTGTCCCTGTTTTTTGACCTATCCCGCCTATCAGTCAACTATTACACCAAGCACATACCTTTTTTATTTCCCGCACTGAATTATGTAACAATAAGAAAAAGTAAGGTTGAAAGTATTTTTCTTTTTGCAATGGCCGAAGTTATGATAAATGATCATTTTAGTTGTTTTCATATAATTTTTTAACAACTTTATTAATAAACTATACCTTTTTGGAAGAAAAAACAACTATTTATTAATAATAAAAAATGATTAGTACAAAAGTAATAATGATAGCCTAAGATTAGAATGAGATGAGACATATAACTTAATAGTTCAAAAGAACATAACAATTCGCTAACCCCATAAAGATGTAGAATTCTCTATCAATATAGAAGTTCTTGCAACTTAACCAATAATCAATACTAGAACAAGTACTAATCTACGACAGAAAACAAACATATAAATCGGTTTTACCATCCACTACGAAGGAAATAATAGAAAATTGTAGTTTGCCCAACCACCAGAAAGAAATAACTAGAATCCCCAGTTTGACCAGCTACTGCGAAGAAATAACAAATATCGTCGGTTTGACAAGTCACTGACAAGAAGATCCTATCGAACACCATCTTTCTCTCATAGCACGACAATGGTTCAGAAGAAGAACGAATAATTGATGTCTTGGGATCGTTGATGTTTGAAGTTAACCCCAAACAAATTAAATCAAGCAGGATTAACATTGTCATCCACCAACAATAAAATTTGAACGCTCGATCGGTTTTACCGAAGAAAACGCAAATCCTATACATTGTTGGGCGAAAATCACATTTAATAACTTGAAAATGCGTAGATAAATTTTGATCTTTAGAATGAGAAACCGATTGAAAAGAAAAGAAAAGTGGGGAGACGGTTCGGGTTTACCCTTCGGCGTTTAGCAACCCAGCTGGCGTTGTTCAGAGCTAAAAGGGCCTCCCTATCTATTGATCTGTCAGACTGACACCAAGAAGATGGATAAGGAAAAGAAAGCACAAGACTCAAGAGTATAAATGACTTGTGGTTTCAACTATGAAGCACGGATACTTCGCTAGGGTAGCGTATCGGCGTATCCGATACGTTCCCGTATCCGATATTCTAGGATACCCGTACCGTACGTTCCCGGGCCGTATCTGCAATTTTTAAAAGTTTCCATTTTTTTTGTAATTTTTTGAAAGTTTCCGATACTCGTATCCTGACGGATACCCGTATCAACTTTAAAAAAAACAAAATTTACTTAATAAAATTCTAAAAAAATGAAAATCTAAAACTACATTTTACTTGGTAATCAAATAATGGGCCTATATGGCTATATCCGAATTAAGTCATTAACTCATACTCCGAATTGGATACTTGCACTTTTAATTTCAAGATTGTAGTTGTTTGACTTATTTCTCATTTTAAATTAATGACTTATTGACTATATTTATATTTCGAGATGACTAGTGTATATGAGAAATATTATGAATTTATTACTAAGTATCTTGAAAAAGGAAAATGCTTCAAAGCAATGAATAGATAGACATCATAGGATATTATATGTATATATATACGGAGTATATATTAAAAAAAAATCTATTTTTAATATTTATAAACAGACCCCTATAACTTTTAGTATTTGTAAATACACCCCCATAACTTTTAATATTTATAAATATGCCTCGTATCCGTATCCTACCTTTTTTTGGTTTTGACGTATCCCCGTACCCGTTTCCGCGTATCGGTATCGATGCTACATACGGTTTCAAATGGAATCGTAGGAAATGGGAATCATTATTTCAAAATATTGGACCTAATTATTCTGGATTAGATGTTTGATCGGGGCCATCAATCAACGTCCTGAACTGATTGACATTCATAAATACAGCCCCAGATAGGTTAAATATCTAATTTGCCCTTTTGATTAACTAATAAAAGCTTATTGGACGGCATAGAGTTTTCAACCGGCAAATCGATCGACGACCTGCATATCCGACCAGACGATTTTGCTACAGAACAAGAAAGGAAGAACGAGTTCAGAGCAATTTCAGAGGGAGCGAGGACTACTCTTCTCAAGCGACGTTCCCAGATGCAAAGCAACTAAAGACAAGGTGGTATCTCCTTTTATTTCCGACGCAGAACAGTGTGCTATTGCAAAACAGGGTGCAGAGAAGACGGTGACTCAACCGACCAATGTGCTATTGGACATTTGGACTACAAAATAGAGCTAATGCTTCACGCCTACTTGACAGACCAGTGAAATCAGAAAACTTAGGGCCTGTTTACTAACAGAAATATTTTCCAGTTTTCCAGAAAACTGGAAAACAGAAAACAGGAAACGTGTTTACCAAAGAAATTCCTGGAAAACTCGAGAAAGGAAAAAAGAAAAACGCGTTTACCAAATCGTTTTCCAAAACGGAAAAAATGAAACATGTCTCTCTTTTCCTTAATGATTTGGAGAAGTGACTTTTACTAGTTTTCCAAATTTAGAAAACGTGGATGCTACAGTGCCTTTGCAATTAATTTGCATACTTACACCTAGTGGTGGGTCCGGTCCCGCTCCGATGTCGATTCCATTCAGGTCCCTCCATCCTCGTACATTACCCCTTACCCCTACCCTACCCTACCCACCCAAACCCCACCCCGCGTACCCATTTTTCCCTATAATGACCTTACCCCACCCCCACCACATGCCCCGACCTCGGCCCCACCCCGATCCACCCTACCCTACCGCCACCCCCCTACCACTTCGACCCCACCTCAATCCACCCTACCCTACCGCCACCCCTACCACCTCGACCCCACCCCGACCCACCCTACGTACCCTACCCCCCACCCCTCGTATATTACCACTTACCCCTACCTTACCCCTTACCACATGCCTCCTACCTCGGCCCCACCCCACCGCCATCCTACCCCCCACCCCCGTGCCACCATCCTACCCCCACCCCCACCCTACCCTACCTCGACCCCACCCGGATCCCGGGCCCACCCTACCGCCATCCTATCCCAACTCCCTACCCTACCTTACCCCAACCCCAAACCCTACCCACTACCCCCACCCCACCCTTGCCGCCATCCTACGCCCACCGCCATCCTACCCCTTCCCTACCCCAGCCCCACCCTGGTCCCTACCCCAGCCCCACCCTGGTCCCGACCCCACCCTACCGCCATCCTATCCCAACTCCCTACCCTACCCCTACCCCTACCCCTACCCCTACCTTACCCCAACCCCAAACCCCACCCACTACCCCCCACCCTTACCACCATCCTACCCCCCACCCTACCCCCCGGCCCCACCCTGGTCCCGACCCCACCTTACCACCATCCTATCACAACTCCCTACCCTACCCCTACCTTACCCCAACCCTACCCACTACCCCACCCTTAATTCTAACCACGACCCTAACCCACCCACTACCCCCCACCCAACCCCCTACCCCTAGACCTTAACACCCCACCCCGACCACATATCTCTTACCCTACCCCCACCCATAACTTCCCTACCCGACCCCTACGAGTAGGTATGGGTGGGTATGAAGGGTTGTGGTGGAGTATGGGTAGAGGGTAAGATCGTGGTAAGGGTAGAGGGTCAAGGGTGTGGAATTGGAGAACTGTGTGAAAAAATTGATGAACATGTTTTCAAATTTGAAAATGGAAAACTAAAAAATAGAAACAGAAAATTGGAGATAGAAAAACTGAAAAATAAAAACGGAAAATTGGAGAACAAAAAACAGAAGTAGAAAACAGGAAAATATCTTGTTAGTAAACAGGCCCTTAGTATCGAATGAAGGTTTTCAAAAGAAAATTGAGGGTCTCACTCATTGAGAATTTCCATTTTTCCCCGGCAGATCGATGCTGGACGAGGTCCCAAGCCAGGTTGTGGTTGTAGATTATTTCCAGGTGGGAACTTTGGTTTGAGTGGGCAAACCTTGGGGATATTTTTACCACTTCAATCAAGAAACACATGAAAACTCAAAAGCAGCTTTTTAGGGGGCCAGAATAGGACCCCAAATGTATGGGGCCCCAATTTTTTAAAAATTTATTAATATTATACAATAATATTATATTACTATAGTTACCAAGTAAGGAAAAAATACAGATCCATCATTTTTCGTTGGTCCTTTTACTTTTTTAGTTCTTTTTTAAGCAATATTCAATTAACTAGTATCGCACCCGTGCGATGCACGGGACAATATTTTATTGGTTTTTAGTTATAAGATAAATATATATAAATATCAAAGCACACACATTTCATATAATAAGATTTTTTTCATCGTATTTAATAAAATAAGATTAAAAAAAATGATATGAGAGATATATTAATAAGTTGTTGAATTAGAGAATTAAGAACAGTGTAATATAAAAAAAAACTAAACATTTTGAAAAACTTCTGGGTATACAACATTTATCGTTGAGTTATCGGAGGCACCATCGGGGTTGCATATCAATATCTTCAATCCTTCACGTCTGGTAACTCGGGAAACAGCAACGTAGAGTTGACCATGACAGAATACCGGGTTTTTTAGGAACAACCCGACATGACATAACGACTGTCCTTGACTTTTGTTGATTGTCATTGCATATGAAACCATTATAGGGAATTGTCTTCGCTGAAACTTGAAAGGCATTCTAACATCCGATGGAGTCAAATTCAACCTTGGGATCAACACTTTTTGCCCTGCATTATGCCCACACAGTATTTTAGCTTCCAAGACATGACATCCGAGTCTTGTGATAACCAATCTTGTCCCATTGCAAAGCCCCATTGAATGATCTATATTGCGCAGTAACATAACTGGAGTGCCAACCTTCAAAGTCAACTCGTGATTTGGAACTCCAGAACACTTGAGACTATTTAGAAATTCAGGGGTATAGACATCAGTTAAAACATCCGCATTTGTGTCAGACTGGCAAGCACTGTCTGAACTAAAATAGGTTTTTGATTCTCGGGTATTCAATGACATCATGTATTGATTGATGGAATCAACAACGTCTAGAGTTGGAGCCAGTATAGCCTGTTTTTCCAAATATGTGGGGTCATCATCAATATCGGGAAAACCGGGGTATGTACTTCGGACTATGGTTGCTATTGGATCACTTTCATATTTCAGCAATATATCATCTGGTATCTCAATTGTTGCAAACCCATTCGATGAGTCACCAATTGCGCCATCACCGATTCTTGCAATCCATTCAACAAACTTTCTAATCCCTTCAACTTCATCCAGGGTGTTAGCACTTTGAAGCCACAATTACTTATACATAAATAAGAACTGTGCTTATTATAGGGAAAAGAATTACACATTACACTTAAAATATATAAGCATACAGATGTTGTAGTATATTACCTGCTTTAACACGACCAAATATTTTATTATCTCGAAGATCTTTGATCAATCCGTCCAACTTGACTTTGAAAATTCGGCAAATAATATCAGCTCGGTCTTCTGGTTTGAGCCTCCTTTCTTCAAGAAAGCGGCTAATTTCAGACCATTTGGGATTGCAAGTAAACGTTATGAACAAATCTGGATACCCAGCCCAACGACATATCGCCATGGCATCTTGATAATTCTGGATCATATATCGTGCCCCTCCGGTGAATGTAGAAGGCAATATAACTCGCTTCCCTTGAGCGCGTGAGTCTGTTTCTCCCCGCAATATTGCATCCGAAAGACCTTTATACATCTCACATCGAAGTTCTTGTTGATGCGTCCTAACATACCTCAACCTCCCGGCTTCTACCATTGTGTACGCATCCACAACAAATTGTTGAAAGAGTCTCTTTGAGAAGAGTATGCTTGGGGATTCTTGATCTCTTTCATGCAAGCGAAATGCAAAATATTCCCTAACACTGACAGTAGTTCTTCCATTTGATGTGGGAATTTTCAACTCAGAGAATGGGATATCTTCTCGATAACCATCTTCTCCATAAGGAAATAGAAGAGGATATTGCAAAGGTAGATAAGCCGGATGCAGTTCATTTATACGTTGCAATGATCCAGAGTGTGCTTGGAGCACAATATCTCTGTTACCCAAAGTTTCGTCAAAGTCACCTACTATTAACGCAGCCACTTCGGATGTTGAAGGAAGGTTATACGTTCGAGCATCAGATACTCTCTTCCCAATGAGTTTCAACCGAATATTTAGCTCTCCATCGGTTACTTTCTGGCCAACCATTCTAAACGACTTAACGAAAGCATTATTTTTGTCCAACATATCTTTCAAATCGCTAACGATGTCGGCATGGAGCGTGTTCTTATCATCTGCATCCCTATTAGATAAGAACCTCATATATTCAATGCACTTATTCATAAACGGGTTTTAAAGAGTATTGCATTAAAGTAAGGTTAATGGCATACACTAACCTCACAGATCTGATTCGATTAACCACCTCATTTGCAGTATCGTAGATGTACAATTGTGCAAATTTAGGTACTTCATTCTCTTCAGGCATAAGACTTCCAATCAAATGGTAGTTTTGTCCATGTAATTTGAAAACCGGTGGAGATTTACCTTTGTTGTGCTCAACATCAATCTTTCCTCCCATCGAAGTGAAAGAAAACATACTATTATATGATCGTATGTTTTGTAAAAAGTGTTTACTCTTTTCACTATCACCATATAGTAGATCAAGTAGTACTTGAGGAGGAGTCTTCATCGGCGAGAGCTTTATTGTACCATTCACACAACAAAGAGAATACTTTGGACTTTTGGATTTATAGTCAGCTCTCAATCTTTCGTCATACCAAAATGTTGCTCCACACTTGTCACACTTGTAAGTTGGATCTCCAATATCCCAATATGAAACTACATAAAATTTTACTATTTAAAAACTAATATAATTGAGAACGTAGAAGTATGCTAATTGTTGTATATTAAGAAAGGTTGGAAATGAAACGCTTACAAAATTTTATTTGTAAGATTAAAGTTTTGTGAAAAAAACGTTGGTGAAATAATGATTGTTTTGTAAATAAATAGATATATAAAGTATCATAACTTATAACAATAAACAATACAAACATTATAATATTTTAGTAAGCATTTATTTTTAAAAGACATTATAAAACACACAAGTAACATACAATCACTAATATAAAAAACGGAGACGAAGCACAACAATTAATATGTTTATTACCTGTCCTTGAAGAAGATTGAGTCCATACATGTTCCTCCACTCGTGCACGCTTTCTTGTCAAGCGATCCACATTTACTATACATATATAAAAATCTAGATTAATTTAGCAATAACGTAAAGAGTATTGTTGAATTACATACTATATAAATGATACGATACAATAATCTATCGTTTTTATAAAAAATAATTAAGCATCTGACTAAATTTTAGCAATAAAGTAAAGACTATTTTTGAATTATATACTATATAAATGATACGATACAATAATTAAGTAACACTTTTATTCGGCTTATCAAGTTTATCATCCAACTTTTTCACCAAACACGTAAATATTTTATTTTGCACGCTGAAATGTGTAATAATAAGATAAAGTAAGATTGAAGTTAATTTGTTGATTGTTTAACCTGAAATTATTATAAAGGGGCATTTTAGCTATTTTTACACATACATTTTTTTGTTTTATTAATACAATATGTTTTTAAATTTAATTTTTATAAATTAGCCAATACAACTACTTAAGCTAGGAATTCATAATTTTGAACAAAATCAATAGACTCAACTGATTTTAGCCCAACAAACTCAAAAAATTACCAAAGCAGTTGTTCTAACCCAAAAATAATTTATGTTGGCCCAACAACCTCGACCCAATACAACAAACCCTACACCCTCCCTATATATAACCTCCCTGTCCGAAATTGAGACCCATTCAAACCTCTCGCATCTTCTACGAAATCAGCCTACCATCTCTCTAACACGCTATCACTCCCTTGCGGCCGATATGCATCCGTATTCGCTACCACTTCCACACACTATCCAACTTCCCGTCGATTTGCGGTTTCTGGAGGAAGGTCAGGTCGGAGCTGATGAGCCATGCCGTAGCATCCTTCTCTCTTGTCTCAGACAGATATGTTTTTTTTACTATACTCTTCTTCGTTTGGTTTTGTTTCCCAATCAGATCTGTTAATTCATTGTATTCTTATATATAGATATATTTCTGATAATAAATCCTTATGAACCGATTCTTCGTATGTGTATCTGTTGCAGGTCGTACATACATCGAAAAGAGGCTCGGTAAATGCTCTGAGAAATCAGCCGCCTGGAATGATCGAGATAAGTTTTTCTCAACTTTTATGTGTTTATTGTTTTAGCTTCTAACATTGAGTTTAAAGGCGGTATATTTGTTATCTTAGTTGTATAATAATTTCAACTTTTTAAGATATGATAAGTACCTGATTTGCTTAATTTGGTAAATTTGCTACTCTTGAACTAAGTTTATCTCGGGTGTAGTCACATTTGCCTCATTTAGGAATATTTACTACTGTAAAATAATACAAATACTTACTCTTGGGAGTATAAATTTATCGGTACATAATGTTGTTGTTCTAGAATTCTAGGTAAAAGGTATATCACTAAACTACTTGCAATGAATTGATATGAAGGGCCTATTATAATAGCTCAATTTTATTCATGCACTTCTGTTAATTCTTCAGCTTTGTTTATACTAAAATTGCCAAGATTGTTGTTGTTCACATTTACGAAGTATGAACTCTAAAGTTTATTTTAAAAATATAATTGAAAAGTCATCATTGTTATTTGAAAGTCAAATGATCTAGATATAGAAAAAACACAAGGACATATCTAAACTAAAATGATACTACATACGTATATGAACAAATTTTACTTTACTCCCATAGAGAAACAAATATAACAATAAAAGTACCTGACATCCAATGACTGTAATGGGATATATAGCTTTGTCTATGTACCTTCACAGTCCACACACCATAGATTGTAGCCTCCAGTTACGGCACAACAGTGTGTGCAATGTTTTATATTATTTGCATAAAGTCTATTGGATGTTTTGATAATCAGACAGCAAATAAACATAAACAACCTCACAATTGTGGTATGATGAAATCCTGATATTTTCTGAGTAGTTTGTCTGGATTCGTGGATGATGAAAACCTCACAAGTCAGAGGTTAATTATATATGTTGCAGTGAGGTAGATTAATTATGTGGATTCTTCTACAGGTGTGTTAGATAACTGCTATCGAGGGAAGTGGCAGAGGGTAGAAATACGTGCACGAACAGGTATATGTCATACGATTTCATTTATATATATATACAGATTATTATTATTATAATTATTATTGTGGGCTGTGACCATAGCTTGGGTTTCTAATCATTAGTCCTTCTACCATTTCAGGTTTGCCAAGAGTAAGTGGAAATAAAAGCACATCAAAGAGGAGAGGTCCCTTTACTGCTTAAACCTTCCATTTAAATCTTAAAAGGTTGAAATCACAACATTACTTCATTCACCCTTTTAGAAAATTAACTGTTCTGTCAAAAACAACACTTCTAGTTGACATTTTTACTTATTTGAAACCCTCATGATTTAAAACAAATGTAATGATTCACTTGAACTGTACACATCATTTTAAAAATTTCGTAGTATATATAGTTTAATGATAATACCTACCCACCTGGTTTTATTAAAATCTGAAATGTTTTGTGAGATTTTCTAAATTTAACGAACATACTTCCTATATGTGTCCAAGTGACTCTAATCTTTACAATATAAATGAATCTAATACCAATATATAGGTAGTGTTATACATTTGGCGGGTGTCGTTTAAGTGTTTTCATAATATGTATGTAATTGCTCATTCTCAAAGAATAAGAAGCCTAATCTGCATTTTCAATTTATTTCCTATTGTTCTAAAAAAACAATCTGTATTTTATCTTATTAGTATTATGGGCTGCTTATTTTCTATTGTTCAAAAAAAAAAAAATATGTATTCTATGTTATTACTATTATGGGCTGCTTAGGAAAACTAAGATTTCTCAATTTTGATCCCTATTTGTTTTCGTGTTTCCAACCCAATGTGTCAGTTCATTGTTTTGTAATAGATATTTTTTGCTAATAAATCCTTATGAAGTGATTTATGCGTATGTCTATCTGTCTCAGCTAATACATGGAAAAGGAGCTAAGCACATGCTATGTAAAATCCACCGTTTAGAATGAGATAAGTTTTTTCCAAACATGTTTGTGTTTATATTTTCGGATCTGATGGTTCTTCAAAGTTACTACATGCTACAAATCTGATTACTTTTTTTTAAAATTCACTGATTAGAAAAAACATTACTTTTTTCAATTCACCTATTAACATTCTGTATTTTATCTTATTACTATTATGGGCTGCTTAGTAAAACTAAGAATTCTCAATTTTGATCCCTATTTGTTTTGGTTTATTTTCCAACCACATGTGTCAATCCATTGTTTTGTGATAGTTATATTTTTGCTAATAAATCCTTATAACTGATTTATACGTATGTCTATGTGTCGCAGGCTCACAGCTAATACATGGAAAAGAAGCTGGGCACATGCTATGTGAAATTCACCGCTTAGAGTGAGATAAGTTTTTTCCAACCATGATTGTGTTTATATTTTTGGACCTGATGGTTCTTCAAAGTTATTAACATATGTTTTACTACATCTGTTTCGATCTGATGATTCAAAATCACTTCAGTTCTTAAAATGCATATGTGACTTTCATCATGAGACTGTAATTACTGGTTTTTAAATATTAAGAACCCATACTTAAATTATACCTTTTTCATACTAAATCAAATTTCTATCATTACGTCAATTTCAGGGAAAGTAAAAGTTACTATAATTTTCACAATTTATTTAAATCTAATATAAACTTATGTGTTTTATTTTATATTCTGTGGATATTGTTCAAGTGTTTTCTACCTTTCTATTTGATTTCTTATTATGAAAGACTGAGAAGCCTAACCTGAAGTACCTATGTAATTGCTCATTCTCAAAGAATAAGAAGCCTAACTTAGAGTAAACTTCTATATGTCTATCAGTTTGTTTCCTATTGTTCCAAAAAACAATTTCTAGTTTATCTTATTACTATCATGGGCTGCCTTGTAAAATTTACATTTCTCAATTCGGTTCTTATTGTTTAAACCCTGGAATGCAATGTTCAATTTGAGCAGTAATTTCTTTTATAATTGCTATGACTGGAAGAGCAATAAACCTACCATAAGTTTTACTTAATTATAGTAAATGAATCTTTCTAAATCTTCAATATAAACTTAATCTCAAGTTCATTTTATTATTATTGTCGGCTTTGAAGAACTACTTGGGTTTTTCATCATTGGTCTTTATATATTTCAGGTCTTCGTACAGTGGAAATAAAAGAGCATCAAAGAAGAGAAATCCCTATAATTGCTGCAGCTTGCATTATATACGTAAGACATCAATATTTATTAACATTTTCATCTTTTAATACAAATAATTTATTCAAAGAGAATGGAGAGTCCTAAAAGACAATTGCACATACACTGAATGGTACCTGGATTACTACTTCTGGAGCGCTTGTTTCCGATGCTCTTTCTGGTACTTGAATTTGTGACAACATGTTCTCGAATTTCCATCTCCTTTTTCTTGTTCATCATCTATAATTGGAGATTTTCTTTTGTATATAAGCATAAGCAGAATGAATTTTACAATCTTATAAAAAAATAAGAAATATTTTTGAGTGAAACTCAGGGTGTAGATATTCCTAGGAAGTTTGTCGTTGAGTTCTCTGCAAAACAGTTTTGTTTAGTCGAATTGTCAAACGGAGATAAGCTTCTTAGAGCACTATTGATATTCCTAAAAAAATGCTTGCTGTGGCGTAAATGTCTTCAACAACCAAGCCACTATCAAATAAGTAGCAACTTTTGTTTTATATTAAAGTTACTGCGTACAGTTTTTTTAAACCACTATTCAAATCCCTAAAAATGTGCTTTGTGTGTGGCGTAAATGTCTCCAACCACCTAGCCAATATCAAATCAGTTGCAACAGTTTTTTTTTTAAAATTCACTGATTAGTAAAAAAATTACTTTTTTCAATTCACTGTTTACTAAAAAAACGTTACCAATTTTACATAGTCAACTAATTCATTACGAAAATTCACGTAAAAATTACTTTTTTAAATTCACGGTTTACAAAACTAATTTTTTTCAAAGTACTTTTTTAAATTCACTGTAATTCTCTATGTTGAGGCTGTAATCAAATCAGTCTCCAACGCAGCCTCCTATGCAACGTTTTTTTGTAGTGCAACGTTTTTATATGTAATGAATCAGTGTTTTAATTTCCCATATTACATTGAAAAGGCCCAATAACAATCTAAAATTTTACGGTATATTACAAACCTAATATTATTTCCTTGATCAATTGGTATTGAATTATTGATGCAGTTAATTAGATTTTGGATAATTTTATTGTCACTATTTGTGAACTAATATCAGCCTTTTTTTAATAATGCAGGTTTCCACACAACTTGTTTATTTTTGTAGTGTATCAAATGTAAACTTAGGTTGAGGGGACCCAATTGGGTTGCCCATGTATGTAAGATTAATTGAAAGTGTATGTAATGTTTATTTAGCATAGGGTTGCAGGTAATATTGTGCTGAAGACTTCAGGTACACTCACCCCTTATCTTCTATTTCCATATAGGACAACCATATGTCTATACTTAATCTCTCTGTTTATTATGCTGATTTGTGAATGCTATAAAAAGCAAAACAGACATTTCATACATTAATTTTAATAATGACAAAGCATTTAACTAAAGAGTAAACTTAATTTTAGGTGATTTGAGTAATCGATAAACTTGTAAATTTAAATCAACACTTCATGTTATATTTACATTGATATGAACAGAGAACAGACCACTGTGTTTAAGAACACATTTAGGTGGAAAACAAATATAGGAAATCCTAAAGGTTTAAGACCTTGTGTGTTTGACAACACTTAGGTAATGCATAAAAACACTGAAAGGTAGAAAGTAGAAAACAACATATCACAAAGAATATAATTGAAAACACAGGCTTGGCTGGGTAGCCAGATTCGTTCAGGACTTCTCAATCTTGACTTTAATTGCCCTTTTGTTTCTCTTAACCATCTCCTGAAGAGTTTCTCCTACCTTTTCTGCACCTCTTTTACTGCATGTGGTAGTGTCACCATCTGCTTCCACATTGTCGTTGACAGTAAGGTCAATCTCATCACAGTTTTCTTTGTTTTTCTTGTTCTCCTCATCAAAGGAATCCTCCATTTCCTTAAATGTAAAAAGACTTACTTAAACGCAAAAAATAATTTAAAGAGTGCTTTTTACAAATTAAAATATAGAAATCAAGGTCGTTTTATTACCTTAGCATGCGAAGTTTCCCCATTCACTTGTGCTATGTTCTCATTTTCAAGCTTAATCTTTTGAACACTAAAAGCAGTTTCACCTCTCTTTGTGCTTTCATTTTGTACTTGAGCCAAACAAATCACTTTCTTGTCAATCAAATTTAATATTTCCAAAGGAAACCCATCTTCTTCTTTCTTTTCAAAGATATATTCCAAAAGTTCTTTATAGGTATTCCAAAATATGTCCTGATAAGTGAATTATAATCTTTCTTATCTTTCTTACCGTGTCCCCAACCATAGTAGCTGCCTTTTTCCCGAATAATTCCTGGCAAGCTGTATCCCATAGAATAAATGCAGCGTTTGCTGTTTTGTCCATAATTCTTATCTTGACTTTGTACCTGTACTTTGTTTACGGATTTTAGAGTTAGCACTTTTTGAAAGTATGCTAAAATTTGAACTGCCAAACTTTAATACTTAGTCTTGAAAATCAAACCTCATGACCGCATCACGACGGTTTTTACATCCTGGATTTATACACTCAAAACGGCCACATTTTGGTGCCACCTTCCTTGCACATTCTCTGCAAGCCAAGTACCACCATCCATCTCCAGTTTCTATATCAACGACTTCACCGGCAACCCAGAATCGGCCATTCTATTATAAGATTTACAACTGACATAAGATATTCCAGGATCCTTGGTTAAATATAATAATAGTAGAATTTCACAAAATTACCAAGTTTTCCTGGAAGAGGGATTCCATTGCCACAAATTCTTCGTCTCCCGAACCCTCTTCTTCTTCTGTGGTCACAACAATGGGTGAACCATTGTAACCCTCATCACCATGCAAGTCAAACCTGTATATGAAGTCATTATGTTTGTCTTCACATAGGCACAGACACATCACGTGATCATTGAATGGAATGCATAATTATAGCCATACTTGTCCTTGAAGTCCAGTATCTCTTGGTCTTTACCATTGATTATCAGCTTTGAGCCGTGGTAACTGTTGGTCATGCACACTTCACCTTTGTATAGTCTTGGGTGAACCATTTGAACAACGATTACCATGAAGTTAGGAGTCTTTTCTACCCCACGCCTTATTGCATCAACAAAATCAGCCCAGAGAGTGCACCTTATCTTTTGTTGGCTGTATGGCACGGGTGTTTAAAATTTTACGAAAATATTATTGTTTATTTGAAAAAAGAATTGATATTAAATTAAAAAATACATAAAAATTATGAACAACATACTCAGGGTCTTCCAAGACCATTTCAACCAATTTTTGGGTGGCTCCATTATTCTCACGTGGTCTAGGAAAATGGATTGACCTAACGCTCCCTATAATATCTGTGTGACCATCTGTTGTTAAGATTCATAGGTCTTTGTATGATATATCAAAATTTGGAAAATAAGATAAGGTAGAATGGTATACCAAACAGCTCAGTCAGGTTTACTTCATTTGCATTTTGAAGTCCAAAAAATGGTTTGAAGCTGAACATATTTTTTGGAAACGGAACGTCATGGTCAACCAATGTTGTCTTGTGGTTGAAAATGATGTTGAAAGGACAATTTGTTGTCTTGTACTTCATGGAATTAGGAGTCACAACAAAGTTTCTCAAGATGTAAACGTTTCCTTCTTTTATGCGCTCCTTGAATGTGCCAAGCCTTTCTCGGCGAATTGTGGCATGGATTTTGTCGCCCTGCGTCAATAAAAGTAGGGTCAATTTGTTTAAAAATAAAAAACTGTAAAGTGGAATTGAACCTAAAAATTGATCATGAAATACATACCTCTTCATCGTGAAACACACACTCCATGGTATTGATCACATTTTTGTTTGTGAAAACAGGGACTGGATAGGCACGCACCAATCTGACTTTTAGTGCCCAGTTTGTCCTTGAAGTATTAAGCTCTAAGACTCTGTTGAACATCTTCAACCTTGATATTTCAACCCTCTGCAAAGTAGCCACAGAATTAATATTCCCTATACGCTAGAAAATTTTAGTAACGTAATGAGTATTTCAAAAGTCTAATAATATACTGCGAGAGTGCCTGTGCTTGAATGCTTGAATGCTTGAATATGATGTTTTGATTTCGGTGGTGCAGGTATATATAATGGTGTGATTGGGTGGAACTGCCTTGTCATGGCAGAAATGGTGATACGTGCTTCAGTCGTGCAGCAACTGTTCCCTCACAATTTAATTGTAATAAGAAATTAAGAATGATAAATTTCCACGTGTAGATGCAAAAAAGCCAGAACCGTTTTTTCTTGATGCTGCCGTGATGTAATGCATTTCACCATCATCTGACACGTGGTATGCATCTATGGTCAGAGTTAGGCAGCATATGGCACGATTGTGCTTTTATATATATATAGATTTGAGTACAAGTATTTAGATTGAGTTTTTTAAAAAATATGTTATATTAATGGGGGGCCCGTTTTTACATATTGAACCGGGGCCTTCAAATTCATTTGACAGCCCTGCTTAAAACATTCTTGATGCTTCAAGATGGAACTGAAAATTTATAATGGATGATGATATATCAGACATGGATGAGGGTTGTGTTAAGTAAAAGGGTAGAATTGGAATTTTTGAGATGATTTGAAATTATTACGGAATAAAGGGCTGTGTTTAGGAAAACTGTGGTTGTTAATAGAATTAGCCTATTTTTAAATGGAATCGTCCACTTAGATATTTTAAGATCATACACATTATCTAAAAATTTAAATATTCATTCCCTCAATTTGAAAATAATGTTGAGATTTCTTATATCGAATCCCAGTCACTTAAAAATTTGTCAAGTTTGACCAGTACAGAAAATAATAAATCAAAACCCGTGTGATTGAAGTTTGTTTAGAGGAGAGAGAAACAACATGAACCACAAAATAATTGATTAAAGAGAAAGTGACAAAGTTTTTGAAGCATCCCAAAAAGAAAATATGACAAAGTCTTAAGGGAATAAGAGAGTATCATTTTGTCTACAATTTACTATCATTGATAAAATATGGAGTACTTTTTTTTTCAAATATCTGTTTATTAAAAAATTGAAATATTAATTTAATTTTTATAAGTAATGTTTTTTCTTGAATAATCATGAAATTAAAAAAAATCCACATCTCGATGCTAAAAAAAATAAAAAAGAACGTTATTTTTGTTTTTTACCTTTTGCAGTTTTAATAAATATATAGCAAGTTCATGTAAAGTTCAGTTAATTATGGATACACCATTAATTAAAAATTTGTGTTTCGTATTTTTCAGCTCCAAAAAAGTCTAGCAATTAAAAACTTCACATTATTTTAACTTTATATATGTGATTTTGGTTTTGTAAGAAAGATCTTAAAAATTTATGAATTCTATTATATTTTTTGAAAACTTTGAAAGCAAACATAAAAAAGTTATGAGATTTTACAAACATATGAAATTTTTTCACGCATGAAAACCCCTCTCTATATTTAACCTCATCCACTACCTTTCTCACTATAAAAAACTTTTTAATCCCCACTACACACAATTAAAAGTCTAAAACCTTCAAATTTATTATGTAGCATTTTGGACTCCTAAGTACAATTCTTCATTTTTTTAAAATGAAAAGTCCAACTCTTCATTACAAATGGTCTAACACCCGTCCCTTCCAATTAAACAGTAAAAGCAAGTTCAATACAAATATGGTGAAGTGGTTTGGAATTTTGGGTATAGAAAATCCATCACATTTTTTATAATGGTAGCATTGTTACTTGCGCTTCAACATTTTCATTAGACTTTGACATGTTCTACATAGTTTCAAGAAAGAGTTCAATTAGAAAAATATATCACTTTGGGTCTTTGGGAACACACTTAAAAAAATCAATTTGGGAACACATTCAGCGGGGCCATTTCTGAAAAAAGAAAATTTATGAATTTAATAAAAATCATAGAATGCTTCAAACGAAATTAAAATTAACATGTTTGGTAATAAAAACATGAAAAGGTGAAAAAATCCAAAAAACCGAAATGTAAAAAACATAAAATAAATTGTAAAACTATGAAAAGATGTTAAATATTCAAGTATTTTCAAAATTAAAAAATGTATATCTTGACATTCTTAAATTTTACAATTTCTTGTCTATTTTTTCGAATGTAAACTATTTTCTTACAGTTCTTTCAAAAATAAAGGCAATGTATAACATGTCAAAAACCAATTAAGTGAAAGAAAAAAAGGGTCACATAAGGCCTTCTACTATTACGGAATCGTCACATAAGGTCATGTACTAAAAAAAGTAGCATATAAATACGTCTACTTATAAAAAGCAATCAGATGGATCAAAACGCTCGGTTGACAACCTCCTAATCCCGATTGTAGCTTAAATGTCGTTATTTTTTCCTTGTATTTAAGCAAATCGTGACCAAATATTTCACATCGGCCTTATACTCTACTTCAAAAAGATAGCCAGAGTACACTAAAATCGGAATTATGAGGTTGTCAACGGATCGTTTTGACTAACCGATTTCTTTTTATAAGTAGACGTATTTATATGGCACTTTGTTGAGTACATGACCTTATGTGACGATTCTTGTTATAGTAGAAGGTCTTATTTGATCTTTTTTCCTAAGTAAAATGATTGATGGATTTTTTGAAGGTGATTGTGTTATACTAGTACATATTATACGACTCCGTACTTTTTAGTCTAAAAATATAAAATATTTATACTTCACCGTTCTCATTCTTTTAACTCCTCTCTCCTTCACTGATATTTTTACTCGTTATTTTAATATCAATTAAAGTTCGAAATAAATAAATAAATATAATGTGTGTAAATATATAATTATATTATGATTTGCGAGCTAATGAGCTAGCGGGAATTGAGCTCGAGTTTGAGGTTGATAGAACTAGAGTCAAGTTTTGACCAAGTAAATTATGAGCGACTTGATTTACACTCTAGTTAGTTCATATTTATCTTTATCTTTAGTGATCTTCGATTACACATTTTTATTGCATTAACATCATACAATACAGGGCGTGTAGTAGTGAAATTAAAGTCAATTGAATGTGGCGAAGTCAAGTAAACTGTGTAAAAAAAGGTTGAATCTTGCCGATTTGAAGCAATTATATTTAAAGAAAAAGATTTTTTTTTTCGGAAAAATTAAAGACAAAGAACTTGTTTAAATTAAAACGAGTAAAAGTGCGCAAAAAGCTAAAATAATTGCTTCTAGTTTCCATTAAACTCGCAAGTAGATTTATGGAGTCAAATAGAATATTGTGAAACTATTTTTATTATTCAACTTTTAAGTGGGATTCCACTAAAAAAAGAATGATAAAAGTGGTGTCACAATGAGTCTGTTTGGCATTTAGCGGTTGACGGATTATATTGGCGGGTAGTAAATAGCAGATTTGATTAGAGGATTTGACCGGCGGATTAGTTTGGCTGGTCACAAAAAATTGTTTGGTAAATTAACTGTTTACTTGTAGCGGTTAGTAGATAAAAAGACCAAAAAGGACATCATAAAATTTAAGCGTGTATTTTCTTTAATAATACGTGTGACTTTAGGACTATACGAATTTTAAAATTAACTAATTAGCTAAATAGCTGAACTTTTAGCTGAAATTTGGTATGGGTAAACTAGACTTAATGAAGAAGGTGCTAAAAAAATTTCATCAAAATATTCCACTGGGAACCGCCTCAAATGGCGACAGCCGGACAAAGCTTCCTATAAAAGGGCTTATTTGCATTTTTTTGGTAAGTTCGGGGGCTTATTTGCCCCTTTTCCCAATAAAAATTGAAACTACAGAGCAATTGTGTGATATGTGGTCATGATTTATAGAATAATGAAGGCTACAGCAAGATAAATAAATTACTTGAAAATGTAAATCCACAGAGTATTACACAACCACGTATTTATAAATCAACACCCGTATAAATCAAAACAGAGATCAACGAATTGTTCTAAATGAAGGATCAATGCATACCTTTGAGAAAAATCTGAAGGGTTTCTTTAGCACTCGTCTTGTACAAGACTACAAGAGAAAAACTACCAAATGCACTGAACAAATCAAACGGTGGGCCTTAAAGAGACTGGAGCTAAAATAGAATATGATGGTGAGAGGAGGGCAACCTAGGGAATTCATTAATTTTTTCAATCCGCCAAAACCTAAACGCTACCACTTGCAGCGTTTTTGTTTTTGGCGGTTTCGTCCGAAACGCCGTTGCTAACCTCTATTTGCCAAACGCAAAAAAAAATAGAGATTTGATTCATCCAAAACGCCAAAGCAGTCAAAACCTCTGATTTTGAGCAGAACCGCCGGTATCCAAACGAAGCCAATATCCTATATGACTCCATAAGGTATATGAGACTATTTTTTTTGTTAAACTCTCTCAGTTCAACTAAAAAGTACTTCCTCTGTTCTTAAATAAATGCAATGGTCAACATTTCACATTTGCCGAGACACAACTTTGACCATTAATATATATAAATTTATATTAGTAAAAAAATTAAAAAAAAAATAGATATTGAAAATTTACAATGAGACAAATTTAACAATATTT